CTTTTCCACCTCTTAGTGGGGAACAGGGAATGGAGATGATCTAGCTGTGAGACTGCTCACAACAGGCCAGTTGCTCCTGACCGTAGGAATTATTTTTTGAGGTGTTCAGCTTAGAATAGGCTACTGTTTGAAGCAAGTAAAAGCATCAAACATCACCAAGCAGCAGTCAAAACGGGAAAATTTTGGATTGTAACTAGTTGCTGTCATGAGCTGCAGATGAATTTACAGCCTTGCCTTAAGGATCAGTCTTCCATTTTGAGATCTTTCCACTCCTATCTGCTTTCTGAAGTGGCAGCATAGTAGATCCCCTTTCTAAAGCTGCTTCCATTTAGTGGATACGTTGCTAAGTTTCAGGAAAGAAAAAAACCCCAACTTTTTATAGTTTTTTCTAAGCTAAGCTCTGTTCTGTCTCTTATGCTTTTCAGCTGTGACCTGTCCTGCCTTGGAAATGCCCACTCATGGTGCTGTGAACTGCTCCCATCCCTCTGTGGAGCTCACCTGGGGTACCACCTGCGAGTTCACCTGTGAGGAAGGATTTGCCCTGACAGGACCAGCCACACTGCAGTGTGGATCTTCTGGGGCCTGGGACAGGCAGCAGCCATCCTGTGCAGGTACCCTTCCTTATTCCTGCTCACCTGCGCACTTGAGGCTGTCAGCATTGGCATGCTGAATTCCTGAGGCATCTGTGCTGATTGCTGTTGTGATCTGTGTGTTGCAGCTGTGAGGTGTGAGGCTGTAACCTGGCCAGAAGAAGGCTTTGTGACCTGTGACCGTGCTCCTGCAGATCTCACCTATCGCTCACGTTGTGATTTCCGCTGCAATGAGGGCTATGTCCTGGATGGTCCGTCCAGCATTGAGTGCACGGCACAGGGACAGTGGTCAGAGCCAATCCCAAAATGCAAAGGTAAGATTTACTGGGTTCGAAATCATCAATTAAAGCTTAGAGTAGCTGGAATAGTCCAAAGAGACTTCCTCATTCAAGTGTAATCAAGGAGTAATAGCCATCCCCAGTGTGTTTATAGCACTTTTCATAAGCAGCTCTCAAGGCGGGGATCATTTAGCCTCTTGTATTAAAAAGGAAACAGCAGTGCAGGCTGACAAGCAACACTCAGGAACTCTGTCCCCAACACATATGATAACGGGCTTTTGAAGTGGAGCATTCTGACAGGAACTCTTTATTCCTACACCCCAAATGGGAGCCTGTGTCTGTTTATGCAGTCCACTTGTGGAGTATAATCTGAAGCCAGTCCCAGGGTATCTTGCATGCTTTAGGTGCATGTTCAAGGGTTCTGGCTGCACTGTGCAACATGCTGAAATCACTGTTTCCTCAGACATTGCTAGGTCTGAAGGGATGTACTATGGTTCTGTAGGGGACAGCTCCAGGCAGAGCATGTCCTCTTGTCAGCTCAGAGAGTGTTTATCTTGACCTACTCCAAGCTAAGCTCTATTCTGTCTCTTGTGCTTTTCAGCTGTGACCTGTCCTGCCTTGGAAATGCCCGCTCATGGTGCTGTGAACTGCTCCCATCCCTCTGTGGAGCTCACCTGGGGTACCACCTGCGAGTTCACCTGTGAGGAAGGATTTGCCCTGACAGGACCAGCCACACTGCAGTGTGGGTCTTATGGGGCCTGGGCCGGTCTTCTGGGGCCTGGGACAGGCAGCAGCCATCCTGTGCAGGTACCCTTCCTTATTCCTGCTCACCTGCGCACTTGAGGCTGTCAGCATTGGCATGCTGAATTCCTGAGGCATCTGTGCTGATTGCTGTTGTGATCTGTGTGTTGCAGCTGTGAGGTGTGAGGCTGTAACCTGGCCAGAAGAAGGCTTTGTGACCTGTGACCGTGCTCCTGCGGATCTCACCTATCGCTCGCGTTGTGATTTCCGCTGCAGTGAGGGCTATGTCCTGGATGGTCCGTCCAGCATTGAGTGCACGGCACGGGGACAGTGGTCAGAGCCAATCCCAAAATGCAAAGGTAAGATTTACTGCATTGGCAAATACAGTTTTCTTGTCACTGTAAAACACACTGAAATCCTTATTCCTGTAGGGTCCTGGCTCCAAACTAAACTCTGTGCTGTCTCTCATATTTTCATCTGTGACTAGCCCTGCCTTAGAAATGCCTGCTTATGGCTCTGTGAACTGCTGCTATCCCAAAGTCAAATGAATTTGAAAATACAGTGTACATCTACTAGTGCAAAAAATAGGGCCAAAGACAGGACAGTCCTTAAAGACTCTTAACTGTTTCTTTCTGTATTTCAGTTGTACAGTGTGAACCACTGAGCTCTCCTGAGAAAGGCTCTATGGATTGCGTACATGGTGCTGGGAACTTCACGTACAACACAGCCTGCCATTTCAGCTGCCTAGAAGGATGGAGGCTCAATGGTTCTCATGTTCTTGAGTGCAGTCATTCAGGAAACTGGAGTGCCAGTCTGCCCACATGTGAAGGTATTTTACCTGTGACTACCCACAGAGAGGTGGCACTAGGTTTCTAGTCAAATGAGGTATGGAAGGGTGGAGGAGGTAACACCAACCAGTGAGCTAGAACTTCTAGTGAAGTCCATGAGTTAAAAAGCCCAACAAAATCTCTCAGCATGTTTTTTGAAACAAGAAGAGAGGAAAATTCCTAAAAGGTCTTGGTGAAAAACATGGATTTCTTATCTAAAACCAAATGCTGCAACCTGATTTGGGGTTGGTTTTGTTTGGTTTTTAATTAAAATATTTCTCATGTTGAGCTTTTTCCATATGAATAAAGAAAAAAAGCTTTTCTAGAGAAACAGAACCTTGTGGGGAAATCTGCATTCATAAGTCTGTTTCTCAGTGGAAAATTTATAGATTTGTTAATTTGGTGTGATAGTTTCTTGGGTGAACTCTTCAGCCAAAAGACCTCACAGAGCTTTTCTGTCAAAGGCTGTAATTATACAGGACAGAAGTCTCAGCCTTGGCTTCCCATTCAAAGCAGTAAGAGCTCTGTTGCTGTCCTCAGTGGGAATATCCTTGGCCCGCCCAAAATGCTTTTGCTTGAGGTCCTAAAAGCTCAACTCCACTTTATTTGCTTGAGCAGAATTTAGATCCTTGAATAATTTCATTGACCTCACCAGGATTGCTCAGAGGAAGACAACACAGTGGGAGCTAAAATATGAACTGGAACATGAAAAATCAAAGATAAGCATAAATTGTCATGTGAGGCTGGAGGTTGGGCAGACCCTGGCATAGCTACTTCGTTGCCTTGCCATTGCTTTGGCAATGGGTGGGATAATTTTTAGGATGCAGCTTTTTACCTTGCGTACAGGATGTGTCCTGTCTCAGCAGGAGAAAACTTAAGGGTTACAAACTGCAATTCTGGTTCCTTTTGAAGAGCACAAGGAAAAGGAAGAAGTAGAGAGGGCTTCAAAGACCACATATGCCTCTTGATCTCACTGAACCTTTTTCATCCTTTCAGCTTCTGAACAAGTCAGCTATGTCTCTGTGGGCATAGCAGCCACAAGTACCTCTCTGTTGTCCACAGCATTATTCCTCCTTTGGCTTGCAAGACGTTTCCAAAGAAAAGGTGAGCAATTGGACTGGGTCCACTGGTTTTATTTACCTTCCTGAAAAATTTTCAGTGGAGGGAAAAAACCCCAAACCCTCCAAAACCGAATACCTTGCTTTTTGAAAAAGTGGGAATTCCCATACTTAAACAAATTCCAAAATTATTTTCAAGAAGCCTGCTTACATGCCATGTTTGGCTTTTGGATGAACATTTAAAAATCAAAAATAGTAAAACCCAGATGTTTAGAAAACAAGAATTAGAAGAAAAAAGCAACATTTTATTCATTGGTAATTACTGCCAGGGAAAGTGAATGGGAATTTGGGATGGGGCTAGTGGCCACACAGTAATAACCGCCTGTGAGATTTGTTACTAGATAATGGCTTTTTGTCAGAAATGAGAGGTTTTTTTAGTAGAAGAAAAAGTTTTCATGAGGGGACTTTCATCTAGAAATGCTAATGTCTTTTTTTATTCTTCTTGCAGCAAAGAAATTTACTCCTTCCAGGTAAGTTACATCTCAAAAAGCAGCATGAAAAACACTGCAACCAGTTTGCTAAAATCCATTTGATATAAACCAGTTGTCATTAAAGTACTTTTCATTTCTGTTTTTTATAGTAGCTGCCAGAGCCTAACCATTGATGGTAGTTTCCAAAGTGTTGGACAGAATGTCTAACTCCAGGTGTTTCAGGTAAGCACATGAGATAGCTGCCCTCACAAATTGTCTTCCTTTTAATCGTGCATGCTGTTAATTGATATACAATTGCTGAAATAGCAATATGTGCTGTGGGGTACCTAATATGCATCTTGGCGTTACATGGAAGTTCCTAACAAGACTGATGGATTTATTACTTTAGAAATGGTTATTCAGCTCCTTAAGGATGATTGTGCTTAGCATTCTGTCCAGCCGCATATAGTATTAGGAACAATTTTGTGCATTTTTGTTACCTGCTGCATACAAAATTCCTCAGAAATGAGAGCAAATACAAATCTGTGCCAATTTTCCAATTTATGGAGGAATTTTGTTCTCTCTGCAGGAATTGATGCCATCTTTACTTATGTCTCAGAGATTTCCGGAGAATGAAACCACATGCAAATCAGCAGCTGTCCAGATGTTTTTACCTCTTGCTGACAAGATGATTGACCCTGTGTTATTGTTCAGAAATTTTGAACTCAAGCTGTCTGGTATTTCCATTGAAGACAAGCAGAGAGTAAAACTCTGGCCTTCTGGCAAAATACTGTCTACATTCAGTCATGTAGTTATCATAACTGGGAGCTTGCCATCTCTTGTCCAGATGGTGAGCAAATAGTAAGCTGCTGCCTAAAGAGGAGGCTGGTTTCTCCTCTGGTCTACTCAAAGGTACCTAGGTGAGGTGAAGACATGCATTATTTCACATCACTTCCTACACTGCTGGAAATGTCTTCTCTGGAGACATACATACTTGCAGAAACAGAATAACCAGGATGAAAAAATATTCATTGAATAGCTTTGAAACCATCGATTTGCTTTGTTGTTGAAGTCAGTTTATTTTAAGAGGATGTCTCAGTCAATAAATATGCCTGTAGTGATATGGGCAATTATTTGGGTTTCTGCTGCATGTCCTAGAAAGCTTAGGGACTTTAAATTTGTTTTTTTTTTCTTTTGGTAATAGCACTAGAAATTGTAGTGCTTACACTAGGTGCTCTGATTTCTGAATGCAGCAAGTAGATCTGAAATTATCTCATCCCTGTGGGATTATGCACTGTAATACAGGTGTATACATAAATATTTAATTGTGCAGTTTTTACTGTGGATATTTCTGTGCTGTTTACTGTAAATGTATTGTAAAATAGTTGTTCCTGAGTAGGTCTGTGGCTATTGATCTGGGCCCAGGTAATTTTAAAATAATTCAGAGGTGTTTCACACCTGCATAGTATTTACAAATAAAATGGAAGCCTGAGATTTCTGTGTGTATATATATTGCAAGTATGATTTATTAAGCTGTTAAAGGACTTGAAATGAGAAAGTCTGTCTTAAGTTATGTTTAAGTTATAATCATAAATTAAAAATCTCTGACTTGGAATCTGATATGTACTGTCCTATTTGTAACAGTATTTAATAAAACGTTTTAAATGTAATGCTCCCTTTTTGGAAACGTACCTCAGTTAAATGATTTAGGTCAGCCCTGTGGATATGGCCTCCGCGGCAGAATGTGAGGGGTTGGGGGAAGACTGGCTGAGTAGCAAGGCTGTCCCTTACTTAGTTTTCCCTGTGTTCATAGCGGTGAAGGACAGAGCAGCCAGCAGATGGCACTGACTGCCTGGGAACTCGCACAGCCAGAGCTGGACCCCAGCCCAGCATCCCCAGTCCTGAAAGGAAGGAGGAAGGCTCAGCGATGTGTCCCGTAAAGCAGGTGCCTGGACCAGCAGCGAGAGGCACGCTCAGGAGGGAGAGGAGAGCAGAAAGAAACAAGCAGGTGATCTCGGTGCATAGTTAACAGCACAAACCCCTCAGCCCATGCAGATCTTTCACAGCCCCGTCTGTTGGGCAGTTAGCTGAGTGTGGGAGACCATGGGCTAAGAGGGGAAAGCACAGCTCTGGGGGTTAGTGGTGACTGCTGTCTAGAGATCTCCACTCCCACCCTGGCTTGGGCTGTAGCCACAGACTCTGCCATGGGCTGGTGCTGGCTAGGTACCAGTGATGGCCAGACGCTCCTGTGGCCACCCTTCCCCAACCCTTGCCATAGCCAAGGAGGCTCTCTGTAGCTGCTGCCAGGAGCCAGCCCTTGATGATAAACCATGAGATGCAGTCCTGCTCTAGGCAAAGCTCAAGAGAAGCTGTCAGGCCTGTGAGCAAGGGAGTCAATTAAAAAGTGCTGCACCACAGTGGACAGGGCCCATTGCTGTTTATCACAAACCGATTAAAGAACTGAGTGCGGCTGTCAGTGCTTCCCCCGCCTTGACAAGGTGGGGCCCAACTGTGTGAGCAGATGTAGAGCAGTAATCCTTCAGGTTTCCTGAGGGGACGCAGAGATTAGCCCGAAACGCCCTGCTCTGAATCCCTGCAGGAGCTGTTTTGAGAGCTAAACCACCACATGGGTCCCCCAGCCTGTCCTTGTTGTTGTCCTCTATATGCATGGCCCTGTAGCATCCTCTGGAGAGAGCTGCTTAGGCCAGCATGGATCCCACCCTGCTGCAGTCAGGGCAGCCCAGCTTCTCCTTTGCTGACCAGAGCTGGT